CTTGCCGGGAACCGTCCTCTTCCTGACAATGACAAAACCATTTTCTCGAGCGAAGGTTTTGATGGAGTGCTCAAGGATCAATGGGTCGGAATAAGTGGCCGCAGGAGGAGCGGGTATGTCGGTGTGTGGTGCTTGCGCTGGTGTTGGGGTGATGGTTGGGGTCTTTGTTGTTTTATTTGTCTTATCTTCCGTGTCTGACTCGGGCTCGTCCTCCTCAGCGTTGTCGCCAGTGTGCTTGTCGGCTTGACTTGCAAGTAGCTCTAAGCATTTTTCGATGGTTACCGTTTCGTCATCTTCAGCGGGTTCTTCGTGATTGTCATCAGATTCTTCTTCATCTTCAGTGGTGATGGGGCTGACTGGTGCCGTTGCCTTGGGTTTGACAGGGGGGGGTGGTTGGTTTTCAGGGGGTCCGGTGACAGGTGGGATTGTTTCCTTGGGTTTGACGCCGGTGGGGGCAACCGTGGTGCGGGTTCCGGAGAAAAGTTCGGTTTTGGAATCGGCACCAGGGATGACGGCTCCTACGGGGGCCAAGAGGCTTGTATCATGCTCGGCCGGGTTGGGGGGGTTGACAACTGCGGTCTGGGTGGCGAGGACCCCCGCAGTTGTCCCGACGACTGCCGTTCTTTGCGCGACGACTCCCGTTTCTTGCGCGACGACTCCCGGGGCCAAGGTGAGTCCGGTGGCGGGCGCGGCGGCAACGACTCCGTTCCTTGGGCTAGCGACTCCCGTCCCGGCGGCGACGACGGCAGTCCCCGGCGTGACGACTCCCGTCTCTCGGGCAGGGACTCCCGTCCCGGCGGCGACGACGGCAGTCCCCGGCGTGACGACTCCCGTCTCTCGGGCAGCGACTCCCGTCCCGGCGGCGACGACGGCAGTCCCCGGCGTGACGACTCCCGTCTCTCGGGCAGCGACTCCCTCTCCGGCGTGGACGACTCCCGTCCCGGGCGCGACAACTCCCGTTGCCCCAGCGGCGACCTCCGCGACGACTCCCGTGGCTCCTGCGGGGTTTCCGACCCCGGTGACGACCTGCTGTTCCCGCTGGCGCCCGTCGGCGGTGACCATCGGCGGCTCGGGTCCGTCGGCGTTGACCATCGGCGGCTCGGATCCGTCAGCGGTGACCTGCGGCGGCTCGGATCCGTCGGCGGTGACCTGCGGCGGCTCGGATCCGTCGGCGGTGACCTGCGGCGGCTTGGAACCGTCGGCGGTGACCTGCGGCGCGGAGGTGGCCTCGGCGGTCACCTTCAGCGGCTGTGGCCCGTCGGCGGGGTCCTTCGACGATTGGGTGGCAGCCTCGGCCGCGGGAACCTCGGCGGCGTCCTTCGGTCTGGGGGCGCGAGCGCTTCGGTGGGGTGCGCGGGCATGGTGGGGTTGGGGTTGGACATGTTGGGTGGGTGGTTGGTTGCTTGGGTGGTTGGGTGGTTGGATAGTTGGTTGGGTGGTTGGTTGGGTGGGTGGGTGGGGAGTCGGTGGGTGGGGGGAATGGATATCGGAGGAGGGGAGGATATGGGTGGGTGTGGAGCGGCGACTCCTTCGTGGGAGAAGAAACAAGGTTTCTTCTCCCTAGCCGACTCCTGGGTATTGTCCAACGACTCCTGCGAGACGAAAAAAAAAAAAAAAATTATAGATCAAATTGGGGCGCCGACTCCCGCCCTTTAGGCGGGCGACTCCCTTTTTTTTTTAATAAAAAAAAATTAGATTAGTTGTATAAATTGGGGCGCCGACTCCCGCCCTTTAGGCGGGCGACTCCCGTTTTTTTTAATGAAAAAAAATAAAAAAAAAATTGGCTAAATTGGGGCGCCGACTCCCGCCCTTTAGGCGGGCGACTCCCGTTTTTTTAATAAAAAAAAATAAAAAATCGGCATTGAAATTAGGACGACGACTCCCCTATTTTTTGGCGGAATTGGAAGAACGACTCCCGTTCGACGACCTCCCGACTGAAACGGGAGTCGTCGACTAATTTTTAGGAGTCGTTTTTCCAAGCCCCTTTATTTATTTATTATTTTAACAACAATGTATAGTGTTTTCCAGTATTCATTTATTTATTATTATTGCAGTTACTAGGTACATTTCACGTACTGTGAAATGTGCTCTGTGGCTGACACAGCAGTTGGATTGAGAGTGAGGAGCAAGTGTATTGTGTGCATTTTGCTTACACTTCCTGGAGCTGTCAGTGAATAGGGTGATCGGGTCCGATTTGGTTCCGGTTCCAGTGGCTCGGCTTTCGAGATTATGAACATGGAGTCTGAGGTGATCAACCACTGTGTCTAGGGTGATTTCTTTACCAGAATGAGTGATGACATCGGCGATGTTGTCCAAGCTGGCGGGAAACTTATCCATTACAAGGTGTCCAATGGAATCAGCAGGAAGAGTCCAACCAACTTCTATGAGTCTGGTTTCGAAGGTCTTCATGGTGGTGATGAACCCGACAATATCGTTCGGAGTGAATGGAGCTCGCAAGAAGGATCTGAACACCCTGGCTTTGTTGGATGATTCGTTTGACGCAAAGAACTGGGTGATGGACGCCCAGATGAGTTTGGCACTGTCTTCATTGGTTGCGTTGATGATGTTAGCTTGAACTGATGACTCGAGTTTAGACACAAATATGGTTTTGAGGAGCTTGTTGTCGGCGTCCGAGAGGATTCCATCATCGGTTGTCACAGAAATCTTCATGTCAATGAGATCGAGTAGATTGATGACTCTGCGTCGCCAGTGAGTGTAGTTGTCCTGAGTTAAGAGGGGAATGCCTTCGATGGAGGTCTTGAGAACGGTGGCGTTTATCTTTTCCATACCGTTAGAGTTAGTTGTCGTAGCAGGCTTCTGGTTTTCAGATGGAGTGTTTTTCGATGAGTTGTCTGAGGTGATTGGATCTTTTCCTGTCATAGAGCGACTGAACGATCGTTTCGACTGTTAATCGTAAAAAACCTAAGATTTGATTACTAAAGAAGGAAAACCAGAGCTATAACAAATGATATTAGATAATGAAAAGAAGTCACAATCAACTAAAGAAAGAAATACTTCATACCCGGATTATGTTTAATAACAATGACGGACAACTATTAGATGAGCGAAGAGATGGACAAATGTAGGACAGAACTAAGAAACAAAGAAGATTAGTTGATCAAGTAGACAAGATGAGATAACAGAATACATGTTGAAAGTGTTGAAAAGTGCTTCAGCGGCATTTCTCACCAAGTTGGACAGAGGACGAGACGACCAACTTGATTTGAGTTTGGTTTGTTGTTGAGGAAATTGAAGTTGGGTCAAGACACGTTGAGTGTAGAGGTTTTTTTTAATGAGTAGTTGAGTTGAGAAGGTCTTCCGATGTTGTGGTTTGTTGGAAGACTGAAGAAGAAGTCGGAAGGCTGTCAGAGTGTCAAAGCCGGGTTTTTATACACGATGTCGATGATAAGATTAGGTTTGACAGAATGTGGTTTAGGTTTGTATTGATGATGATTAGAGTTTGTTTGTCAGACAGAGTTTGAGATGCGGAAGTGGTTCGCACAGTAGTCGGATGTCACAGACTTTGCCGGTTATTACGTCGAGTTTCAACATGATTACCTTTACCTCTTGTTATCTTATCATTATTATTAACTTACCTTATTTATCTTATATCTATTTTATCTGTTAATTACTTATACATTAAATACATATCTGTTTTATACATAAGTAATTATCACTTACCTTTCACTCCTGTGTCCGTGAAATACCTGTACCACAAGTTATCCCTGGTCTACAGTATTTTCACGTTCAATTATTATTACAAATAAATATGTACATGTATTAAATAGTAAGTATTAAGTGTCAATATAATTAATACATTCAATACATGCACTGATCACAATTATGACTACATTATTAGAGGATCTGTTAAGTACACATCAAGAGCAACTAGTACATTGATCAACTAGTACACAATTATGATGTCACTCACAGATCATGACAAATAATGATCAGTCACTCAATTGATGTGCTCATTCTCCTGGCCAAAAGCTCCCTTGATTCTGAGCGCTCATTCTTTCCCCTCTTCAGTATTCTGGAACTTATAATCCGTGCTTCTTTCACTGATTAATCCCCAGAATATTCAGACACCAGTTAAACCAGTTAACATTTATATTGATACAGTACCCGTAACCAACATAAATCTTGTCTACATTTATTGTTCTTAAGCTTCAGTACTCTTACTCAACTTATCCACAGTATTCATAGCCTTTCTGAATATTCCCATTAACAATACCTGTTAATCTTCAACTAATTTTGTTAAAGCTTAATAAGTATTGTTAGCCCATTCCCTTTGGGGAATAACTAAATCAATCCCAGGTGAGTCTTAGTACCCTGGATGCCTATTAATACCTTGTATTGATCCGGATGCGCTGTTGATAGCAAGCCTCTCAGTAAAGACCATACTGATAGAGTGAAACCTCCTCTTTACAGGACTGGTATTAATCACCCACTACCTAACACTCACCACGCTCAAAACTTCAGTCAACTCATAGTAACAACCTTTTTTACTATTAAATACTCAGGTTAGTTACCCAGAGGCTGACATAGTGTATGTTGATTGGGAGCGGGGGGGTCCTCAGTACGGATCAGTGTGCGAGGAAAGCCAACAGTTTTGTAAGATAAAGAGTGCTCATTTTGGTTGTGCCAATGGTATATTCTCTGGCCGGTCCCTGAGTCTTGTTCAGTCAGGTTTTACCTTTGGCTTATTCTCATGAGTGTCAATTTCCAAGAAATTTTGTAGCCCTTCCAGGTTCATACGGGCATTGGGTCAAAACACCCGGCTTTCTTTCTTTCTTTTTTTTATATTTCAGCCTTTGGAGATGAACAAGAGGTCTAGATCAGGGGGTAAGATTACAGGCACGTAGTTTCAAGCTTTCAAGGCAGAATTGTCCCCTTGGGATAGTGCATCAGCACTATTATCTTTTGACGGGACCCGTCTTGCATTAAGTTCACTTGGAGGAGTTCTACCAGAACATACAGCCTCCAACAACCAAAAGGGAGGGGAGAGGCACACTTTAAACCCCTCCTGTTGCAAATGTCAGCAAACAGAGATGGGTGCAGAAAAACCCACCCAAAAAAACACACAGGCTTTTTTCCACATCCCTTTTGGAGAGGGGGGGGAGTGGGCATGTGGGAAAGGGTGGGAGTGCATTTTTCAACACACTGTACACCCCTCCTGTTGCAAATTTCAGCAAACAGAGATGGGTGCAGCAAAACCCACCAAAAAAACACACAGGCTTTTTTCCACATCCCTTTTGGAGCGGGGGGGGTGTAAGATTTCAAACAACTAAGAGGTTCATTACGATTAGACAAATGTTATTTGACAGGCGCTAAGACTATTCACAAGGTGATTTTAATCCAAACAAAGAAAAAGCTGAGAAAGAGAGATGTTTTACCTAAGAGCAGAACAGATCGTACTTGCTTCTTGGCTATGATGATATGCTGTTCGGTGAGGCCGAAGCAGCTTGGTGATTGAGTGAAGAGAAAGAGAGATGAAAAAGGCTTGAACAGGAAAAGAAGACGAAGATTATCTGTAGGGATTTTAGTCGTGTCTGTTGTCAGCTTCGCTGAGTCTCTATTCTCTATGCTTTGGTAGAAGGGAGTAGATTATTTAATCGGCTTTATGCTATGGGCTGGCCTGTCCTGGTTCCTACGGATGGCTTGTGGTTGTTTCTTGTTCGAGTGGTGTTCTGCTCAAACAAGAGATAAATCAGCTATGATTGTCGATGTCACTATTCTGCACTCATGGTGTTGTACTCACTCGTTGTGGTCTTGGTTGATTCTAGCGAGGAGTTTTGGTTTGGTTGGGTGACTGATTCTGTGAGCAATGGATCTATGAACGATGTGGATGGTTAGATCTGGTGTCTGGTTTGACTGAGGAAATGAGCTGCTTAAATACTCACGGTGCTACCGTGCGTTTCTTCTTGTCGCTATCGTTCTTGTCTGCGTCCTTGGTGATGGGTCTGGTGAGGCTTCTTCCCCAAGGACTGTGGCTGCTGGTTTCATTGCCTGGATCTAAAACAAAGAGGCTGATTTAAGTTTCGAGTAGAGTATATTCTGAGTACTACACGTTTGGGCTTACTTTGTGTCGCCTTGGAGTCTGTTTGACCTTTGCAACGCTTTGTTGCAGTTTCAGCCCCAGGGGGCTTATTCTGACAGGCTGGGTTGCTTTGAGCCGCTAGGCAAGAAGCAGAGACTTCCGGTGTGGTGACTCCAATGGCTGATAGCGACCTTCTGATGGTGACTCTGCCGGTGGGTTTGATGAGGAAATCAGCTGAGTTTGAAGTGGTTTTGATGTAGTGGAGTTTGATGAGTTTGCTGGTGATGAGTTCACGAACGAAGTGGAGTCGAATATCCATGTGCTTAGTGCGAAATCCATTTTGCGAGATTTCACTTCGAGCAAGGTCGATAGCTCCTTGGTTGTCGACACCCACTGGGATGTTGATTGGTGAGTAGCCTAAGTGGAGTTCAGATAGCAGGTGAGACAGCCACGCCAACTCTCTTCCTAGGTCGGAGAGTGCTTTGTACTCAGCCTCAGTAGAGGAGAGTGAGACTGTGGCCTGCCTGCTGGCCTTCAGTGGTGATGACATAGCCTGTTGCTGAACGTCTGGTGTCGGGGCAGTTTCCCCAGTCAGAATCGATGTGTGCGCTGATTGAGAGGCTGGGTTTCCTTCTGAAGACAAGGCCCACTTGTTTCGTGCCGGATAGGTAGCGAAACACCTGTTCCGCAGCCCAATAATGGTGGATGCCCGGGTTCTCCAGATGCTGGGAGAGAACACTGACTGGATAGGATATATCAGGGCGCGTGGGAATACTGAGGTAGTTAAGCGCCCCAACAATTGAGCGATAGTTGACGGTGAGCTTGGAAAGTTCTTCAATTTCCGAAGGGGTGGCCTTTTTGAGGTGAATTTTTGGATTGATGGGACAGGACGCAGGCGAGGAGCCGTCTAGGCCGAATTCAAGGAGCTTGCGTTCGAAATATTGAGTTTGATGGATGTGGAGCATGTTGGGGCATTGGTCGAGGTTCATGCCGAGCAGGAAGGCTGCCTGGCTCAGGTATTTGATGTCAAACTCTTTCTCCATTTCAGCCCTAAAGATAGCCGGATTTTTGCTGATGACAACAAGGTCGTCGACATGGGCGTAGATCCATGTGGCCGGCTTCGATCCAGAGAGAGGGCGATGGAACACGCAGGGATCTGAGACAGTGGCAGTAAAGCCGATGCTGCTCAGGAATCCTGCGAGTCTCTTGTACCATACCAGCGAGGCTTGTTTTAAGCCATAGATGGCTTTCTTCAACTCGAAAACGGTGTTTGGCGGACATTCATACCCTTGAGGGGGAAGCAGGGTGACGGTGTCCTCTAGCGGACATGTAAGGAAGGCGCTTCGTACATCCAGCTGATGGATTTCAAGGTCGTTGTTTACCGCAAACGACAAGAGTAATTGGAGCAACGCCGCCTTGCCGGTGGGAGCATATTTCAGCTCAAAATTGACTCCGTAGGTTTGGCAAAAGCCTTGAGCGCAGATTCTGGCTTTGTACTCGATGACTTGGTTGTCAGGGCCAAGCTTCTTCCGGTAGGCCCAAGTCGAGGAGATTGGCTCGTCAGATGATCGTCGAGTTCTTTCAGTCCAGACTTCATACTTCTTCATGTTGCCGATTTCTTTGAGTTCAGCCTCTCGCCACTTGGAGGCTTCGTGGCTCTTCATGGCCATGTTGTGAGATTTGAGGTCAATGGATGTGGACACAAGAAATGTCGTGGTCCGAGTCCTCTTGCACTCAATGATGTTGCTCTCATCAATTGCGCTGGCAATGTTCTGAGCAGGGCGATGATCTTTCATGTATATCCATCGCTTTTTGGGGGTGGGATCAATTGGATGACTGG